GAGTATAGTACAGTTCTAAATCTGCCCTGCTGATTAATTGGAAAAGATAGTATATTGAAGGACACCCAAACCGGTTGTTATGCGACGTAAAACAGTAGAGAGGGCAGTCGTAGAAGAACCACTTAATGCACCGTGCATTGTGCATTATGAACGACATGTACGTTTTATTTACTTGAGTTTACTTTTTTAATACAGTTTAATTTATATATTTCAAAATTATAATAATGCCATCGTTACGAGAAGAGATTTATCTCATTGGTTATCCAAAACATCAACTAATTGGTGGCAAACTACCTTCAAAAGGAGACTGCTTAAAAGTTATGTTTTATAATATGAGAGCCACACATTTAAATCTAAATGAAAGTGCACGTCTAGTGATAGACGAGTGCTCGGTTTTTTGGAAAAAAGCACGCATTCCTATACAAGAATCACATAGAGCCGCAAAAAAATTAACAGACTTGTATAAAAAGTGGAGAGGCCTTCTACAAACAAAAAATAGAGATACCGACAATGTCGGTCCGACATTTATAAAAACAAAAGAGAACATTGGAAGGATACATTAAACGATTTATTCGATATTGCTCACAAAAATGCTCTTAGTCTACTGAAAGTTGAAGAAGATAAGCAGTTTTTACTCAAGCAAAGACTAAAAGGACGCGAAGGCTGCATGCTCGGAGTAGACCGTGCATTCGCAAAACAAGAACAGAGGCGACAAAAGCGCCAACGCCAAGAAGAAAACAGAATGAAAAAGTATCTAAATCTACAGACTGCATCATCTTCAGCAGGTAAACATTTTTATATTTAAATTTTTTATATTAAGTAACAACTTACATAATAACAAAATAATAAAAATTAAATAATATTATAATAACCAAATCATAAAATTATCTTTATTTACTGCTCTTGATAATAATCTTTGTTTAAAGAAAAAATTATATTTTACAGATCTAACGATGGAGGAGACTTTAAGTTCCGATTCGTGTGATAATATAACTGAAAGTTTAAATTCAGACCTTTCTGAAAATTCAGAAACAACTAAGCCGTACATTGACTCATCGCCAAAACCAAAGCGGGCACGGAAAGATATTTTAACGCCAAGACTCGCTGCCGTTTTAGACAAAATAAAAATAAGCGAACGAGATGCGGTTCATTTATTGATAGCAGTTTTGGAAGCAGTAGGACTAAATTCATCTGACTTTGTTGTTAATCGCACTTCAATACGTAAACAGCGAGAGACTTTTAGAAAAGCGCACAGTGAAAAAATAATTCAGAAATTTTCTGCCAACACTCAACCACTGACAATTCATTGGGATACCAAACTTTTACATAATGTTAAAGGTGAAACAGAAGACCGCCTAGCAATAATCGCTACGGCTCCAGGTATAGAACACATTTTAAATATGCCTGAGATACCGGCAGGAACTGGACTAGAAATGGCCTCGGCCGTTTATGAAACATTAGAAGAGAATAGCATTTTGGACCAAACCCAGGCATTTGTATTCGACACAACTTCGTCAAACACAGGAAAATTTAACGGTGCCTGTAGTCTACTGGAAAAAAGAATCGGGCGAGATATACTATTCTTAGGTTGCAGGCATCATATTTTTGAAATTGTTTTGGCAGCTGTGTTCACGGAAGCCAATTTGGGGACATCTACTGGCCCGGAAATTGCAATTTTCAAAAAATTTAAAAAGTATTGGCCGAAAATAAAACAAGATAATTTTGTGACAGGAATAAGGGAGAAACGAATTAAAGAAATATTAGGTGATGACTGCACTGAAATATTAAAGTTTGCGAATAAGAGAATTAAGGATAAGGACCACCCAAGAAGTGATTATAAAGAACTTCTTGAATTGATTATAATATTCTTAGGCGGAACTCCTCCTCGAGGTTTGAAATTTTCGAAACCTGGAGCCATGCACTTAGCCAGATGGATGGCTAAGGCTATCTATTGTCTAAAAATATTAATGTTTCGAAATCAATTTCCTGAATTAACCGAAACTAAAGTAAAGGGTTTAATTGAAGTAGCAGGATTTATTATCAAATGCTATGCATTTTCCTGGTTTAATGCGGTTAAAGCAGAACAGGCTCCTCTAAATGATTTGGAATTCCTAAGAAAATTAGAAAATTATAAGTTAATCAATAAGAACATTGCAGATAAGGCAATTTCTAAAATTTTAAATCATTTATATTATCTCAGCGAGGAGTGTGTGGGCTTTGCCTTGTTCGATGACAGAATTGATACAAAGATCAAAGCTAAACTGATTAAAAAAATGACTCTTGACGTGGATGAAGAAGAAAATGAAGAAGAAGAAGAAAAAGAATTTCCAAAAAAGCTAATACTGCAAACGGCAAATTTCAAAGCATTTATAGCCAGAGATAACTCTATCATTCTGGAAGAATTGTTCTCACGAAGAACAAAAAACCTTTTGAAAAGATTAAGCATCTCAACTGATTTCTTGAAAACAGATCCTAACAATTGGAATGATATGGAGGACTACAGAAATGGAAAGAATTTTATTGAACATTTAAAGGTTGTAAATGACAGCGCAGAAAGAGGAGTAAAATTAGTAGAAGAATACCACGAAAAAATTACAAAAGATGAACAACAAAAGCAGTATTTATTTAAGGTTATTATTTTGTTCATATTAATATTTGGTTGTTTAGTTTATCATACAAATTTTGTTGTTTTTTTTTCTTTCAGGTTATACAAGCATATAGACAGCAATATTCCAAAACTGCCAAATTACAAAGTTTAAGAGGCCACTTCAATATATAAAAGATTATTATTTTAAGGCACTTTTATTTTAGATCTGTAGAGTTTCAGAATTTATTTAATATATTTAACACAACTATACTTAATTCTTTGTTTATTAAATAATTTTAACCTCTCTGTAACACGTCTAAAAATTGTCCGATTTGTTTCAAATTTTGACCATTTTAGTTTTAGACCTTATGTCACGATATGTCGGTGCGCGCTCTTCAAAAATCCAAAGTTGAAAAATAAGTGGCACCCTAGTGTTTATATTATATAAGTTGATTTAAGAAACATGTTAAAATGGTTGTATATAACAACATTTTTTACATGTTTCTTTAATCAACTTATAAAATACACAGCGTTGCCGAGTTTTTTCAACTTAACTACTCGTCAAAAAAATTGTTTGTAATTTTTTATACTTAAAATAACCCCCTGTTATTTCCGACAGCCTGTATTATACAACATTGTTTATTGAATACAAAATTGTGTATGTTTTTGTAAGTTTAAGATCCGTTTTTCTCTTAATTAATAAAAATAACCTACATAAAAAATGTAAAAAAATATCGATACCTGGTATTTTGGTTATCAAAAGGGCAATATTTACTACACTCACAGGCAAAATAATCGATCCACACAAATATTCAATGAATTTCAATCGCAAATAACTTTTTTATTTGATTATTCAAGAATATTGTAGATAAATTAATGGACAATCGCTCACATTTTAAAAAATTACTAAAAAATAGACGTACTTTTATAATATACAGGTTTAAACAAAAAGATGTTTTTTACCATAAGTTTAAGACACTATGTAGAGTGGCAAAACCGTATATTGTTCTTAAATTTTGAGGTGTCTTCTTACTTTAAAAAATGGATATGTCTCCGACTTGCCAGAGCCATTAATTTAATCCATGATGGACGGTCACAGTATTACGTGGCAAGTGTTTTAAATGTCATAAGAAGTAAAGTACAAAGGGCAACACATTAATTTACAAAAAACAATTTGATAGCTTTTGAAAGTTGTATATGACATGTCCAAGTATGGGATGATTCAACAAAACTGTCACTGTCATCCTCCATAGGCTATAGATGGACCATATCAACCTTAGTTCTTCATACAGGAAAAATATTGGAAATTGCAATGTTTTTTTTAAAAAGTCCATATTTTCCACAAAAATAAATATATCAAGGTGAACCAAAAACAAAACTGTTAAAAATAGATGTGACTTGATAATTAATTGATAATTGATAATTTAGAACAATATACGGTTTTGCCACTCTACAGAGTGTCTTAAACTTATGGTAAAAAACATCTTTTTGTTTAAACCTGTATATTATAAACGTAGGTGTATTTTTTAGTAATTTTTAAAATGTGAGCGATTCTCCATTAATGTATCCACAATATCCTTTAATATTTTTTTAATCCGAAATCAAATAAAAAAGTTATTTGCCATTGAAATTCATCGAAAATTTGTGTCGATCGATTATTTTGCCTGTGAGTGTATTTACTAAGTTTCGGCATGTTTTCACTTTACCTTTAAAAATAAAAAATTGATACATTTTGTATAGTTTGTACAAAAAACACCATTTAAAATTATTTTATCCGAAATCGGCAGTAAAGTAGTCAACAATCGGCAGTAAAGTAGAACTTTAGTGACGATTTAAGATGTGTCTACTGCTCCTCAGCAGCAACTAAATAATATTTAAAAAAAGCACCGTCGCGGAGGTCGCTTCGACCCTTTTAAATGTTGTTTATTAAAAATAATAAGTTAATTTTATTAATTAGATTAAAAAATCGCCGCGGCGGGCAAATATATAATAACCGTCGCAACAAACAGTATACGTAGACACTTCCTACATTCAAATGACATTTGATTTAATCATCAATATTAATTATTAGTATTATTAAATGTGATTACGGATAAAATTTAATATACACCTCGGCATTAAAGTCATTTTTTATCACGAATATGGAAATTACCACGTGTAACGACTTTACCTCCTTGATACATAAATACCTATTTTTTATGCAATACGGGATAAAAATAATGTTATTTATAAAAGATAAAAATGGATTTTAGATTTTTGAAAAAAGTATTACTAAAAAATCTGAAAACATTTACGGAGACTTTTCAAGTAAACCACACATAATTCTACTTTAGCGTTAAAAAATACATGAGGAAAAGTGGTACACCCTAATATTTATATAAGTATAAGAAAATCATTTGCTTACTTGTTTTAGGGTCTAAGAAATCTATCGTTTATTGACTTAAGCGACAATTTAATAACAAAAATTGCATCAAACACTTTTGAGAATCTTCCCCAGCTTAGAATAATTCGATTACGAGGCAACAGATTAACCCTACAATCTCTGTCTGAATTCAACCCCACATCCACCATAGAGGAGCTCGATATTTCTGGAAACAACCTCATTGGACCTTTGGGACCAAAAACTTTTCCTAAAATGCTTCAACTCAAAGATCTGCAACTATCACATAACTCGCTAAGCAGCATAAAAATGGCTGCCCTTCAAGGTTTAATAAAACTTACGTCACTGAGACTCCATCATAACTCCATAGATGTTATTGAAGATCACGCCTTCAGAAACTTAACCAACCTGGTGAGTCTGGATCTCGCTCATAACAGAATAGTCGCTGTATCAGGGGCTTCTCTAGCTCACTTAGAGTTATTGACCGAGCTGGATCTAAGGCATAACTTCTTAAGAGCACTAACGCCAGACCTGGTGCTTCCCTTGAAGAAACTGACTACTTTAAAACTTGACGATAATGACATATCAATTGTAGCTAGCGATGCTATTAAAGCTACGACAGTATTAAAGCATCTAACTTTATCAGAGAATCCATTAAACTGTGATTGCAGTTTAAGCGAATTTGCAAATTGGCTTATGAATTCGACCCTTTCGAAAGAAGACAAATCCACGGCTGTATGTACTACCCCTCCTTCCTTGGAGAATGGATTACTCATTGATGTTCCTGCAGAAAATTTATTATGTGGCGATGACGAGCAAGAGAGTCTTATGGCGCCATATGCCAACCCCTACAAAGCAAGAATCAATCTTAACAATTTTAAATACGATGGAAGCAAAATTAACTTAAAATGGAACGTGGAAGATGAAGCATCGCCATATACTTGCGATAAAATATTCGTTTATGAGGAAGAAGGTGAAAACGAAGTTCTTATTGAAAATAACTCTATCAACTGTGACTCCTCTGAACTTCCTGATCCCACAGTACTTAATATAACAGTACCAAATACCATTGAGCTCATAGAACAGCACAGATATAGGTACTGTATAGCTTTATTTGAAGCCGGCCAATCTGATGATGAATCACTTATACTTGGGTGCTCGGAGGTGATTCCTTTAGTAAGGAATGCTCAAGTACAACCGAAAAACGACTATTCAATGAAACTTTCCAAAGTTCTGGCAATTCAAGCTAACCTATCTTCCTATGGAAGCTTAAACATAGACGTGAACGTATTTCCTCAAAGCAAATGCGAATTGAACATTGCAATTTTGGAACAAAGTTCCTTGTTATCACAGAGAAAAATTAATTGTACTGAACCTAAGTACACTTTTATTGGCCTAAACCATGGTCCATATAGAGTATGTGCAAACGTGATCAGACCAGGTCTAGCCATTGATTTGGCCAAGCCAAAATGCATCACGGTGTTTAAAAAAGAAAGCAAAGGCTTTACTGGTTTGGACGTTGCTTTTGTATCCATATTTTTGGTGTTGTTTTTTATGGTAATTGCTTTAATTTGGGGCGTAAGAAAAATTCTGTTAAAGCCCAAAGTGCAGACTCATCAATGCTTTTTGCCACCAGAATTCGAAGAGCAACAGCATAGCAGATATGTTAAATTACAAGCAACTACCAAGTTATAAAGTTTTGTGATTGTATCGTACTTTCCTAGTGCCATATCGACTTTGATTAATAAAAAGTATTAAAATCTTAACGTCTATTAACCAAATTTGTAGAATATTAATACTAGTTTTAAGTTCTGTACATAACATTAAATATTTAATAAATGCAAAATAATTAAAACTGACACTATATTAAAAAGTATTTTTGTTGTAACTGTGTCGTCTTTAATATTTGTATATAGTTAAGTTTAAGTTTAACAATACGTTATATATCTTTATTTTATTTTAACAGAACTGAATGTACAATGTAAAATATACTAATGCTTGTTTTTATTTTGTTATAAATTGTTGTTAGTTATGCACCGCCTTTTAAAAAATAAATAAAAAATGTTCAATTGTTTTTTATTTTATACTTTCCAAGATCATTCTAATCATCTTGACCATGAGATATGGATTTGGCTGCAAATTTTGATAAAAACTTACAGGAAAGTGGGTGGGTATTTTCATACCACAATAATCCATCAGTTGTTTGTGGTGATATGTGGCATAAACATTAGAATTTATATGATGAACGTATTTTTACTTGTAAACTTAATTTTATTTGTGGATTTTATTGAAACTAAAGTTTATTCTTCCAACATTACTGATGAAGGTAAATTTAATAATATTACTTATTTAAAATAACTGGACGTTTTGTATTCTTTTGGGTCCGTTTAATCTATTGTTTATGCATTTAGCATATTTTGTTAAAATATGAAAACCGTAATATTAGGTTTTTCTGTGGTCAAAAGTAGACCAATATTTTGCGACCTGTAAACTAAAGGGTTCCAAATCACATTTTATAAATTTTACAGGATTTTAGAATTTGATCTAAATTTGAAAATTTTAGTAAAAATGCTATTTGAATCGTATCGTTTTTTTTAGAACCAAACGCCAAATAAATATAATTTTGCCATTGATATTTTGTAACATGTCACACAGAAGTTATGTGACAGAACCATTTACAGGGCGGTCCTAAACTCGCGCCCCACCGGGAAAGGGCTAGTGGTAACGATGCCAAAACTGCATATACATGGTGATTCACCTAACTTATTCATTAGAAGTTTATGAAGAACGGAAAAAGATATAGATTTGAAATTTGTATTGCAATTATTTAAAACTTTTCGTTAAACCGGAAGTAATATCAACTTTGGTTTTTCAAATAGAACCATGTAAATATTATTGCTTTTTAAATTCTAAATTTTGTCTACTATTTTTTTATCTTGAACAGTTTTTAAAATATTTAATTTTTTTCAAAAATTTTGCCGAATGGATGGTCTTACTAATATGTCTGTATTACCACTAATTGTAATGTTAAAAAGATCATTTTTGGTGTACCTGTTAACTAAGGAGCACTCTATCGAAAAATAGTATTTAAAAACTTTATACAGGGTGTCTGGTATGTATTTACGTTGACTTTTTTGTAACTTTAAATACCAATAACTTTCTTACTTTAAACGAAACTACCATACAATCATTCGACACAAAATAATGTTTTCTATTGAAATGCTGCAGCATTATTCCCTATACCTAAAATGAATGTTTACAGAGATATTACAAAAAAAGTAAAAAAAAAACGCTTATTTTCTTATTTGTAATATCAGTAGTGTGCGTTTGATTATCTTTTATTTCGTATTTATAAAGTAATGTCAATGCAACAACTCTGAACATTTATTTAACAACAAAAGAGAATTTTTAAAATACAGGCCCTGTATTTAAAAAAATCTGTTTTGTTGTTAAATAAATGTTCAGAGTCGTTGCATTGACATTACTATTATATACAGGGGCGCCGGAAGGCCTGTTGTGTGTGTTTAGAGCTCATCACAAGTGAATATTCTATGTGTGGAATTCAACACATGGAATGTGATAATACATTTTTTTTTCTGATCTTTAAATTTCACACAACCCAACCCAACAATATTTATATGCTCATTTGGCTGCAGACAAAATAGATTTAGAAAATCTGATGGACAAATTTATATCAAGAAATGCGAAACGAACCAATGTGTTTGCTTTGTCAAAAGATTTGTTAGACGTTTTCGGAATAAAAATATTGTAGGCAATGGCGGCTGGTGGATTTTGCGAATACTGATATCTTAGTTATTAGACATGGATCCCACACCAAATTGATATAAGTTTTTAATGACATTAAATTAACAAGTTCTGCGCAAGCTGAATTGTAATTAAAGTTTGCGAAAAAAAGATAGTTTTTGCTCCGCCTACCCTGCAGCCTGACCCCCTAATAAAGATAATACAAATTTTAGTGGTGCTTTTTATAGTTTAGCATAGTTTATCGGCAAATTTCAAAGTTTATATAAAAAAATACAAATATTACAGATTTTATACCATTTTAACTTTTTATTTCTTTTCCTAAAATAAAAAAATAAAATGGGTTAAAATCTTATACTTACTTGGATTTTTTAAATAAATTTTTAAATTTGTTCATAAACTATGTTATATTATGAATTGCTCTACTTAAATTTGTATTATCTAAGGGGGCCAGGCTGCAGGGTAGGGGAAGCAAAAACTTTTTTTTTCGCAAACATCTATTTAAATTCTGCTTGCATAGAACTTGTATATTTCGTGTCATATAAATTTGGTGTGGGTCCCATGTCCAATAACTAAGATATGCAAAATTCTTTAGCCGCCACTGATTGTACGTAATAATGCTTTTGGGTACACTAAACAACACTATAATTTAAAGGGTCAGTCAAGTTGCCCCCCCCCCCCCCCCAATCGTGCAAACCCCCTCTATTATAAATCATAATTTTGCACACATTTTGCACAATTTTGCACACCCCTTCTTAAATTTTGCACACATCTGCTTTGGAAATGGCAAGAAAAATCATGTGGGGGGGCAAACTTGACGCTTGCCCCCCCCCCCCCCTTTGCTCCGACAAACTCTACTTTTCGTCATCATAATCTTCTAATTTTGCACAATTTTGCACACCTTATTTCAAATTTTGCACACCCCTACTTCATTCAGCACAGTGTCCCAAAAATTTCTTCCTAGCCCCCCCCACTGAAGAAATTCACTTTTTTTTTTGCTATCCTTATCCTCTAATTTTGCACAATTTTGCACACCTCATTTCAAATTTTGCACACCCCTCCATCCACCCCCACGGCATCCCAAAAAGATATGCACTAGCCCTCCCCACCGGCAAAAATCCTCATTGTTTTTGTTCTATCCTAATCCTCCAATTTTGCACAATTTTGCACACCTCATTTTAAATTTTGCACACCCCTCCATTCATCCCCACGGCAAAAACTGCAAAATTTACTTACAATCCCCCCCCCCCAATAACAAAATCCAATTTGTTTTTATGCTATCCTGATTCTCCAATTGTGTACAATTTTGCACACCTCATTTCAAATTTTACACCTTTTTCAAATCTAGCCTAACCCCCACATTAACGTCCTCGCTCACTGTGTTTCCGAAAATTTTATCCAGCTCTATCCTTGCCACTGCCAAAATTCTATTAGGTATACCTTGTCATCTAAATTTGCACAAATTTGGACACCATAATTAAAAAAAGGAAAAGTATTCAAAGGCCAAGCTTTTATTTTTTTATCAAAATACTATTTTGATAAAAAAATAAAAGCTTGGCCTTTGAATACTTTTCCTTCTTTTAATTATGGTTTCCAAATTTGTGCAAATTTAGATGACAAGGTATACTGTACAATACAGAGAAATACAAAGAAAAAATAAAATATGAAAACAAAACAAGTACCTATTCAACTTCTAATATTGGGACGTATAAAACAAAATTTGGCAATTCACCATTCGCTTACCAGAACAGGACTCGCTTTTAGTTTTGGTGTCGTTATAAATCTCCCAACGATTATTATGTCGCAAACTGTAAGCTGTAAAATGACCAACTCCTACGTTAGGTCCAATATAACCAACCAATCCTCGCAATACGTACGTCTCGTTGCACACTGTCAATTTCTTTGGTAAATCGTCTAACAAAGTAAAAACTTTTTATTGGGATCTAAAGGTTCGATCATAAGGTGTGTTAAACTAATTTTAGTTTTTCAAAATTGTGCAATATTAGAGGACCAGGATAGCATAAAAACAAAGTGGATTTTGTCAGTGGGGGAGGCTGGTAAGTAAATTTTTGGGATGCCGTGGGGGTGGATGGAGGGGTGTGCAAAATTTGAAATGAGGTGTGCAAAATTAGAGGATCAGGATAGCATAAAAACAAAGCGGATTTTGTCAGTGGGGGGGCTAGTAAGTACATTTTTGGGATGCCCTGGGGGTTAGGGTGAGCCAAAAAAACTAACCTATCGGATTTATGGGTTAAAATGAACCTACATACCGAGCAAAAAATTTCCCTGCAAGGCAAAATTTTTTGCTCAATTTTAAAAGGTGTCGGTGAGCATTCTAAGTTTTCCATTGAAATAACACGTAAAAAAATCTTTTTTTATTAAAAAGACTATAACTTTTGAACCGTTTGAGATAAAATTTTTTACGTCGCGGATTCTTGTAGAGCATAAAATTTCCCAAAGAATCTATACCAGGATTATTTTTTTTAATTCAAAAATTCGTATGTTTGAAAGCTTTGAAAAGTGTAAAAAATCACTAAAACTGCAGTTGAGAGGGGTGTGCAAAATTTGAAATGAGGTGTGCAAAATTGTGCAAAATTAAGAAATTATGATGACGAAAAGTAGAGTTTGTCGGAGAAAAGGGGGGGGCAAGCGTCAAGTTTGCCCCCCTACATGATTTTTCTTGCCATTTCCAAAGCAGGTGTGTGCAAAATTTAAGAAGGGGTGTGCAAAATGTGTGCAAAATTATGATGTATAATAGAGGGGGTTTGCACGATTGGGGAGGGCAACTTGACTGACCCAAAGTTAAACTCACTACATTTTTTATCAGTTTAATATAAAAATGCTGCATTTTAATTTTTAAACGATGATTGAACAAAGAAGGAAGTTTTAAAAGTATTTTGTTTTAAGAAGGTCAAAAATATAATCATTTTTTTAACGGCCACAGATTTTTTACAGATCGCTTTATAACGTGTTAACTTTAGGGAACAAATATAAAAAGGTAATGTTGATCATATTGAATGAGGATTAAACTTTATTAAATTAATTAAATTATACCGCATATTGATAAAACATGTTACCTTCTGCTTTACTAAAATTAACCAAGTTCATTAATAATGAATCAATCAATGAATCATTATGTATAGAAAGAAACTACACATTATAGGAAAAAATGGCAACGTAAGTATTTAGATTCAGCGCAAAACATACTTTTTCTACACCTTTCTTTAAAACGTCCATATGGGCGACATACGATAATGTAATCGTATATGTTTGTAAGTGACCTTTTAAATAAATATTGACAAGTTGTGGCTTTATGGCCTTTTATTCACGGGCTGAAGTGAGCAACAGGTTTTTATACTATTCACTATAGGCACGGGCTGAATATAGTTTTAAGTTAGTTGACAGTTGTTAAATGTCATACAATCGTTAAAATAAAGTGGCCTTCTTGTAAAATAAGTAATACTAAATGTTAAAATTATTCAATATCTCAATACAAAAATATACCTATTATGATAATATTTATTCCATTTATTTTAATTAATTTTTTAAACTCAATTTAATTTA